AAACCAGAACATTAGTGGTTAATTTTGGCTCTGATTCGCAAGTTGAAAAAGTCTCTATCAGCTGGAAGGTTGGATTAATTAAAATAAATTGATAAATCTATGTTAGCCTGATCAACTAACAGGAATCATTTTATAGTTACCAACCTCCCACATAAGCTGATAGGGGCGCAATTAATCCAAATAACCCAAACAATTGCTGGAAGGATTGGCCTTTCTCCAGGCTTCGCCCTAGTATTTTAACCAAAAAATAATGGGATTGCTTAAAAAGAAGTGAGCTACTACAGAAGGAAAAATCTTGCATATTATTTCACCTTTAAAATAAAAGATATGATTCTTACTTAGGGAGTCCAAACCAGGGTCTAATACGATAATACTCACCGACACCCCCACCGAACCCTGATGGATGCACAGTCTCATAAGTTCTAACGGAACTAGGTTTTAACGGAACCGGCAAATGGGACGTGCACCTCAAAAACTAATTTAACACGCGATCGTTCATGTCTGCTCATTTCCTTTTATGTTTTCTGTCTTTTATTCTTTTATTTGTGCCTGATGCTTTTCGCTGCTGTGGATCGGGGCGCATCACCAGTTTTGTCCTCGGTGACGCACCGATCACTGATGTGGCCGGCGAGCACTCCGCAGTTTTTGCGGTCAGTAGATCTTTTAGAACTGCAGTTCAAAGGTCACTCATAAGGTGAATATATATGAAGCCAGGTAGCAGTTTTTCTTTAGGATTGAGAGGAGATGCAGGAAGATAATAAACAGGCAGGACAGAAAAATAGTCAAATAAAAACAAGTTAGTTTTTGTACCTGCTGGTTGCAACAAACAGACACCATTGAAGGTAATCAGAAGTGAGGAACAGAAAATGAAATAATTATTTTAATGTTTAGAGCAGCAGGAACTCCGAGAGGCTGCAGGCGCATCAGTGAGTTTGCGGCCGCTGCGCGGGGGAGGGGGGAGAGGGCTGAAGCAGAATCTACCGTTGTTAAAAGAAATGTGTTTAACTTTGAAAATGTGGGCGCAATTTTAATTGTCAAAAACTCCAGCGAACCATTAGTTCATTTTGCTCAAATAGAAATAGAGGCCTGCCTCTAATTCTGGTCCTCCTTCCAATAAAGGCCTGGAGCTTGATGAGCTTGAGTCAAATACAGGCCCGGGCAAGGCCGGATTAACCATATGGGCAACTGGGCAATTGCCCAGGGCCCACAAACTCTAAAGGGCCCAGGGCAGCAAGGGCACGAGCAAAATACTGTATCTGTAATCTCCCGCTTTATATTATACTAGGGTGACCATACATCCTCTTTTCCCCGGACATGTCCACTTTTCAATCTCTGTCCGGGCATCCAGGGGGGTTCTTGTATTGATGAAAATGTCCGTTTTTTCATCCAGGAGCAGGGATCGAATTATGGAAGAGCTGTATATCCTACACATCCAGGGGAGCCGGATAAAACGTTTTCTACCTAAATTACACCATTTATGGACTATTTTGAGCAGAGAGCACATATAGCGATGATTGTTGGTGTTCAGCACTCCAGGCTGCTGCGTCCAGCGCACGGTCCATTCTCAAAGTAGCGCAACCAAAATAACTATAATTAACACACGATGGTTCATGTCCGCACATGTTCTCTATTTTCTGTCTTATTTGTGCCTGAAGCGCTCTGCTACTGCGGAGCTCATCACCTGTGCTGCGGTGATGTTACCTCACTGACGCAGCATCGAAACACGCTCTCCGCTTTACGGTCAGGAGATCCCTTTAATCTGCTCAGAAGTAACTGATGAGGTGAGAAAGTAAGAATCCAGGCAGCAGATTTTCTGGAGAGTTTAGAGGAGATGCAGGAAGATGAGAGACAGACAGGACAGGAAATAGTTCAAGAAAAACAAGAAAACAAAACAAAAAGTAAAATGTAGGTACATTTATCTCCACTACACGTTTTTACTTGTATAAAACAATAAGTTATACACATGTAATATTTATACATCTGATACAATTTAGATCACCTTCAACACTCAGTCACACACCCAGGGCCGTTTCAAGACATTTTGGGGGCCAAGGCAAAATGACAGCCCCCCCTTGCAGACTGACCAATGAAGAGAGGGCCTCAAGTTAAGACCATCTCCTCATTGGTCAGTCCACCCAAGGTGGGTCAAAGGTTACCTTGAGCGGGTTACGTGATATCAGGCATTCAAGTATTGAATATATTTACGGCATATTACAGTAAAATATTCTGTATGTGACCATTTTATGGTAATCCTTGGGTCGTGATGATGGGGCCCTTTAATATTCTTGCCCAGGGTACAACAAAGTGTTAATCTGGCCCTGGGCCCAGGCCTGTATTAGAGGATTTACGGTATGTTTTGTAAATTTGGAGAAAGCGATTTACCACATCCCTCAGGGGGCTGAGGGGTTCTTCTGGAGTATGGGGTACCAGGCCCTCTGATATGGGCTGTTAGGTCCCTATATGACCAATGCCAGAGCTTGGTCCACATTGCCGAAGTAAGTCGAGCTCATTTCCGGTGAGAGTTGAACTCAGGCCCTTTGTCACGGATTCTGTTCATAACTTTTATGGACAGGATTTCTAGGCATAGCCAAGGTGTCGAGGGAATCTGTTTTGGTGTCCTAAGGATTGAGTCTCTGCTTTTTGCAGATGATGTGGTCCTGTTGGCTTTATCAGAACATGATGTCCGGCTCTCATTGGAGCGGTTCGCAGCCGAGTGTGAAGCAGCTGAGATGAGAATCAGCTCCTCTAAATCCGAGACCATGGTCTTGAGTCAGAAAAGGGTAGAATGTCTTCTCCGGATCAGGGATGAGGTCCTGCCTCAAGTGGAGGGGTTTGAGCATCTTGGGGTATTGTTCACGAGTGAGGGAGAGATCGAGCGTGAGATCGACAGGTGGACTGGTGCTGCGTCTGCAGTGATGCGGTCGTTGTACCGATCTGTTGTGGTGAAGAGAGAGCTGAGCCAGAAGGCAAACTTTTCGATTTATGGGTCGATCTACGTTTCAATCCTCACCTATTGTCATGAGCTTTGGGTAATGACCGAAAGAATGAGATCGCAGAAACAATCGGCCTAAATGAGTTTTCTTCACAGGGTGGCTGGGCTCTCCCTTAGGGATAAGGTGCGAAGCTCGGTCATCCAGGGAGTAGACCTGCTGCTTCTCCACATCGAGAGGAGCCAGTTGAGGTGGCTTGGGCATCTGGTCAGGATGCCTCCCTGGTGAGGTTTTCCGGCCACGTCCAACCAGGACATGCTGGAGGGACTATATCTCACGGCTGGCCAGTGAATGCCTTAGGATTGCCTCGGAGGAGGTGGCCCATGTGGCTGGGGAAAGGGAAGTCTGGGCCTCCTTGTTTAGGCTACTGCCCCTGCGACCCGACCCCAGATAAGCGGCCGAAAATGGATGGATGGAAAGATGGATTTTGAACATTGTATGATTGTTGGTGCCAGATGCGCCAGTGGGGGTAGTTTCGATAATTGCTGTCTACTGGGATTTTCTCACACAGCTATAGGAATTACAGACAATCGCCTGAAAATGCAAAAATATGATCTGATGGTCTGATGAGTGTCGATTTCAACTGCAACATTTAAATGATTGGGTCAGAATTTGGTGTCACTAACATGAAAGCATAGGCCGTTTCTCAACATGCATAATCATTTGAACTTGTGAACTGAAGTATTTGTGAAACATGATAAACATTAGCCCAAGTACTGCTCCAATCATAAGTATGCATCATGGCAAATACTATGAAAGTTTCTGAAGTTCTTCGTCCGCCCATTATATTGAGGATGTATCAATTCACCGAACTTGGGTCGGCAAGGTATACCATAATGTGTTGCATTGTTATACTCCAGATGGAAAAAAGCAGAGTAGAAAGCTCATAACTGTAGTGTTTTTACATAAAAAATTCAAATAACTAAGTCACACAATTAATATAATATTAAAAAGTTGTCTGTTACTATATTTAATTTTGTATAACATGTAAACTTTGGCTGCACAGTGGGGCAGTGGTTAGGGCTGTTGCCTTGCAGCAAGAAGGTCCATGGGTTCAGCCTGGGATCTTTCTGCATGGAGTTTGCATGTTCTCCCTGTACATGCGTGGGTTCTCTCCGGGTACTCCAGCTTCCTCCCACAGTCCAAAAACATGACTGTTGGGTTGATTGGTCTGTCTAAATTGTCCTTAGGTGAGTGTGTGTGTGCATGATTGTTTGTCCTGTGTGTCTCTGTGTTGCCTTGCGATGGACTGGCTCTCTGTCCATGGTGTACCCCGCCTGATTGCCCATTGACCGCTGGAGATAGGCACCAGCCCCCCCGCAACCCTGCGTGGACAAGCGGGTTCAGAAAATAGATGGATGGATGGATTTAATTTTGTGTAACATGTAAAATTTGGCTGCGCAGTGGTTAGGGCTGTTGCCTTGCAGCAAGAAGGTTCTGGGTTCGCTTCCTGGCCTGGGATCTTTCTGCATGGAGTTTGCATGTTCTCCCTGTGCATGCGTGGGTTCCCGGCTTCCACCCACAGTCCAAAAACATGACTGTTAGGTTGATTGGTCTGTCTAAATTGTCCTTAGGTGTGAGTGAGTGTGTGTGTGCATGATAGTTTGTCCTGTGTGTCTCTGTGTTGCCCTGCGGTGGACTGGCTCTCTGTTCAGGGTGTACCCCGCCTGATTGCCCGTTGACCGCTGGAGATAGGCACCAGCCCCCCCCCCCCCCCCTCCAGCCCCACCCCGTGACCCTATGTGGACAAAGCGGGTTCAGACAATGGATGGATGATTGGATGTAAAATTTGCTCTTAACTCTTGACAATACCAAAATAACTAACTGGCTAATCCACTGTCAAAATTAAAGCATCTTTGTTTTGATGAAAACAAAACTTTTTTTCTTCATTTAACAGCAGGAAATGTTAATATTTTATCTATTTTGATTAAAAGTGGATTCAATATTGTACACATGTAATGTATTAATTTGTATTTAAGGGACAAACTAGACTTTTATTTTCATTTCAGCTTGTTTTTTTTTATCCGTAGCATAAAACAGTGCATGTTGCCGTGATGTATGGTTCTGTTTCAAATGCTTTCCTCGTCCTCATACTTGGTAGAATGGACTTTCTGTTGCACTTGCCAAGAACATTACTTGATAAGAATCCAAGAACGTTCTAGCGTACTTGAGCAAGGTTTCTCCCAGTACTTTATGAGGCTTGGTCACCTGTTAGGCTAAACATAAAAGTAACTCATGAGGTTAAAATATAGGAAGCCAAACTGTAGTTTTTCATAGGATTGAGAGGAGATGCAGGGAGATTAAAGACAGGAAAATATTCAAATAAAAAGCAAAAAAATAAAACAAAGTGTTTGAAAAGGAAAATGTAGGTTTGTCCCACCACACGTTTTTCATTTTCTGAAGCAATAATTTATAAGCATGTAATATTTATATATTTTATACAACTCGGATCACCTTCAAAACTCAGTGCCATTTCAAGGCATTTTGGGGGCCACGTAAAGAATAAAGCACCCCCGCCCCCCTTGGGCTCCCCCAGAAGCCTTTGTGTAATTCATGCCCTGGGCAGATGTATTTGTATAGTGTTCTTCTTACAGAGGCAATTGGTAAATTGACTATTTTCAACCCCAAGGCACATTATAACACAAATAGTCATTAATCCATTCACACACACATTTACATGCTGGTGATGATGAGCTCCAATGAAGCCACAGCTGCCTTACACTGACGGCGCTAGGCACAGTGTTTAGCCCAAGGACACAACAGTAGAAATCTCTGACAGAATTCAATTAGCTTTTCAGGTGCATCAAAAATCTGTTTCTGCAATTAAAATACACAACGCACATTTTTTACTAAACCGATCAAAACAATAGAGTTTTGCTGGTAAATCGGTTTATAAGCACAATTTGCCTCCTTCACTCACTCCCCTCCCAGTCCTATAACTCCGCTTTATCAGGTCTCTCCTCAGTCGCGGTAACGGCACAGACGCGCGTGCAGCTTTAACGGGGAAGCGGCACGGGATCTTCCCCGCCATTTCCTCGTGCCGAGCCCTGGAATGTCGAATGGTGGCTCAGGCTCTTCCTCACGGAAGGAGTTTGATGTGAAACAAATCCTCAGGATCCGATGGAGGTGGTTCGGTCACCCCGCGGTTCCTCCGCCTCACTCCCCGCCAGTAGCTGACTACTTCAGCGCGAGGGGAACGGGAGTCAGCTCCGCGGACGGACCCTCCGTTAGCGGTAACTTCCATCCAGCCAGGGTGAGCCCAGGCGGACTGGTGGCCAGCGGCAGCGCTGGCTCGAACCTGTGTAACGGCAGCGGCAGCTACCGAAAGTTTGCTGATCCGGTGGAGAGTCGGGGCGGTCCAGGAGGAGCGGCGGTCGGAGCCACGGGGAACTCCTGTACCCGCTCCATCAGCCAGCCCGAGTGCAGAAGCTCCACCGCGGCGCTCTCCTGGGTCTCCCCGCCGTCTCGGCGTCGTTCTCGTCCATTGACGAACATGGAGCCCCCCGCCGAGGCCGCGGTGCCCCAGCTGGTGGCGGAGCCCTCGGCGCACGCCGGGATCGAGGAGGAGGTGGAGGCGGCGGGTACCGAGGACAGCAACCACCCGGAAACAGACTCCAGCTCCTGCAGGTAGGAGGAAAAAGGGTCATCATGAGTTTTCAGCTGGAAGTCACCAACCTTAGCAACACTGTTCAGACTGCTCTTGAAACTTTCTTGAAAAGTTTTAACAAGCAGATCAGCTGTGTTGCACCACTCCATCAGCATGATCTGATGCAGGCACGCGGCAAGTAAGGATAGACTGATACCTTCCATCTCCACACCCTCAAAAAGAAAGAGTAAATATGAATTTATTCAAGAGGTGAGTTATTACATCATGCGTATCTCACAGGATGCAGCACCTGAAGTGATTTCTGTTTCCTCGGGTTTGCCTGAAGCATATCTGTGCACATGTGGCCATCCAGCTGTGGTAGTGTGGGGGAGACTTATTTAAAGCTTCCTTGGAGACAAATACTATAACATCTCCTGTACACGTTGAGCTGTGATTGTTTTTAACATTTGATTGTAAATTAGCAAATGTCATAAAGCAAAGGCAAAATGTGGCAGTCTGATGCATTTGAATGGCTTTAGTGTTAGCAGTAAAATGATTCATGAGTCCCCAAGAGATGCTGTTTCAAGCTTTCCAAAGGGACAAAAACAGTATATTTTTAAAAGTGACATTTTATTCTAAGCCATTTTGCTGTCACTGTAATTGTTCACATTTCTGTCAGGAGAAGAAGAGATTTATGGATTTCATTGTTATGCAAGGCTTGTTGCTTCATGGTGGGTGATCATCATGAGAAATTTACATCCATCTAACACATATTCAATCCACATGAAGGAAGGAAATATTCAAGTTTCAGTGGATTTAGAGCTAGCTAGTATTGTACACAAGTGCCTGCACAGCCCTGCACGTTTGGTGGTTGCCATACCAACGCACAGACGGGTTTTGCTTCATACATGTGCTGCTATGAGCTTATTTTAATGTTTGTGTCATTCTGTATGCGATTCATCCTTTCCCTCAGAGACCATCTGCATGCACTAAGATA